TTGGTAGTTTGGTTGCAAAAGTTTCGTCACCAATGCGCAGGGTGTTGCTGGTGCGTCACAGTCCAGGCGTTGAGCAGTATAAATAAATAAATAAATAAATGTATAAACCATTTAGCTGTAGCACCCTTTCGGTACGGAGGTACCTAACGGAAGGAGGCACGGGGGCTGGAATACACTACCACGTTGCCCAAGCCTAAACACAAGCAGTGGCGATGCTGAAGTTGGGTTCGAACCACGGATCTTCCAGTCCGTAAGCTGGCACCTTAACCACTGAGCTACTTCGAGCCCGCGTTACACAATGTTGTGCTTGTGCACTGATGAAACGTTTGCAACCAGCTCATCATCCACACGACCTTAGTTATCAACCATTCCCCCGGAGAGCAAAAATACGGCCCTGGTGAAAACATGAGCAATGATACTCTGACCTTTATATTGATACATGAAGTACAAAAAAATCATCGAAACAAGTATCAGTTGAGATAAGTTGATAGATAGTATGCTCAAGTGCAAGGTATACAAATGCCGGAGGAATATTGACTATATCGCAGAGGAATGCCAGTGTTCGGTGGGATCACACAAATGCGGTGTGCAAGATGGATGGAGCAGTGGTGAGCGATTGACGACAACGGGCTTGTCGGTGGGAACAAGTGACGGAATTGAGCTGGATAAGTGACACCTTGAAACCCAGTCACAGTTGAGATACTTTTCTAGTGAAGGACAAACGAGAGAAATGGGAAAAAAGTACATGGTATGTGAGCGAAACAAACTTATACGGATCTACAGATTGCAAGAACACAGTTTGAAGTCTGCCTTGACAAAACAGTCGTGTGTCATCTTTGTCAGAAACTACCAGAAGGTCATACCTCACGAATCTTTACGGATCTTAGGAGTCGTGACCAGAGAGAACTGAACTGCGATATGGTCGCAGGGAGTTGTTCACTAGTGACTAAGTTGCACTTGGACGAGAGCGGGCACGATTAATGTTCAACAATTAAATCTACGCACGAAAAATTCAAGTCCCCCACTACTTACAAAACACGAGTAAACTGCCCAGAACGAAGAAAATCATGCAAAACGTGTAAGCCACCATCCCAGTCAACACCAGATCACGTGACGTGCACTGACTAATCGAAAAGGGAATCGCCACACACTCTATCCACGTGCACGTAAATCACACCACTGAACGGTTGTTTGTGAGTGAACAGTGGCAGCCAAACACTTATGAGGAAAATTACGGGTTCGATTATCTTTGAGGACAGACGATAGACACACTGCTCAAGATTCCCAACATAGTCAAAATATCTGTCTGGTGCATTTTGACTTTTCCACATAGACTGACTTTATTTGGACGATGCTGCGAGAAAACTTCCAAAAACCAAAGTTCGAATCCATTCGGCGTAATTTGTGGGACAAATCTGCCAACCAGATGCTCATCTAGTCAAGACCGAAAGACTTCAGGGCAAGAAACTTTCAGTGACGGTTGTATTACAATTCGAGTAAGGAATGAAGGCCGAAGAGCACCCTTCATTAAAAGAGTTCGGTGCCCCTTGGTGGTCTTAGATTAGTGAACGTCGGTGTTCGAGTTTTAATCAACTAATTTGGGTTATCGAATAACTCCCTGCTGTTTAAAAATGGAAACCATGGATTGTTCGACCGTGAGGCTTCGTGAGACGATAAAGTTGGCTCATATTTTGAAGAAATCATGAAGGATCCTTACCGCGTCAACTGTGATTCAAGTTAACGTTAGAAATAAAGCGTTTGGTTTCTTCATCTGAAGTCCAACTGGTGTCAGGTGGAATGCAACGACAAAACCACTTGCAATTAGGCGCCGTAAGGGCTAGAAAGTCTGATTTTCACGTGTTTGGCCAGATCGAACCAGTCGCCGGTTCAAAAATGTGAACCCAATAGTCGGGTACCTACTGAACATCGGACTTCCAGGTGTTGTTGATACACATACACTTTGAATCCGACGCACTGTACATGTTTTTTTGCTTCGGGCGTTTAGTACAACTTGGTGGTTTTTCTGGCGAAAATGCTAGCTGGGAAGATCACACCAAGAACTCAGCTGAGATGTAGCCGTTATCTCAACCGGACAAAAAGATGAAACTACGTAAGGAAGTTGGACATTTTATAATTGATTGCCAAAGCCCGACAAAAGGATGATGAAATCCCCATACCCCCATCCACTCATAGGTACAATCATCCTCTGGGAAAGACATCATCATTAACGGAGTTTTCGGCCCATGGCGTGACTACTCTACCATCGATTACGATTCTCGGTGGGGTGGGCTCTCTTCGGAGTGACTCGTATTCAGGGGTTATTGTGTCTAGCATTCCAACCGGTGCTTGTGCGCTAGTGTCTGAAACATATCCTCATCGTACGGAGCTTCCCGTTACAACAAGTAACCTTTTTCTAAGCTCAGTCAGACCGTGATAAACAGGTTCTTTATCAAGGGGCAAACTAGCACTTGTTAACGTGAGACAAACGGAAAATTCTCGACTGTCATATTCTTCAACCGAATTTCCCGCGCGAAAACCCATTCATATGTCTCAGCAGGAGCGGTACTTAAGGTACCACGGAAGTTTTCCTTGAAACGATCTCATTTTAAATCTAGAAGTCTGCGCAAAATGCCTAGAAGAGAAGTCGCCCCGTTAGGAAGCAGGAAGCAGCAAGAAGGAAGCACGAGGGCTGGGATACTGCCAGGTTGCCCAAGCCTAGACAGGGGAAGTCCAGAGGCGGAGGTCGGATTCGAACCACGGACCTTCCGGCCAGTAAGTTCGTGCTCTAACCACTTGCGCCATCTCGCCCCCCCGTCCCCTTAGAACAGCACTGAAGGATAGAGGGGGCAAGTGACATTATCTACGACAGCACCAGAATAAAGTTTCTTTGCTTGTTAGCGAAATGCACTCGAGTGCAAACAAATTTGGTCTTGCGGGAGACTCACTTAGAAAACAGGTGAATCTCTCGTTTATGAGGTTTCACGTAACTGAATTTGCTGCACTTGGTACGATATTCGAGATATCACGATAAACGTATATACGTAGTACACTACTCATAAGGTTGCTGAAAATTCTTCGACAGCCCACGACCGGTTTCACCCTTCTTGGGGATCATCAGGTAGACGCAGTCCCCGAGTTTCCGTTAACCTTAGGTTCTCCTTGAACCCAAACTGCATGAAATTGGCGAAATGCACTTGAAAACATCATAAACGAGAGATTCAGCTTGGTTCCAGGTGAGTCTTCCGCAAAACCAAACTTGTTTTCACCAGAATAAAAATTCTCTTCTTGTCGTTAAAGAAAGCTGGATTTCTAAATTTCATTCTCTGGTGACACCCTTCACCTGAAAGGTGACAAAGGCTACAGAAAAGAGGTGTGTGGCAAAAATGTCCTCTACTTGAGTTCCGCCCAACCGTCTTGCTTTTACCGGACCAATCGCCTATCACTATCATTTCAAATTAGCCGTAATAGTTGTGCACACATAACACAAGTCATCAGCAGTTATTAGTCAACATGCAAACAGAGCCTCACCCCAAATTGGAAGTTGAAGCGAACGGTTTGGATATGCTTGCGTGTCGCCAAAAAGCGGAGCTCGTCTTCCGACCAGTCACATCGAAATGTGCTAATGAGCCGATAAACCGGTCACCATCAGTGCCAGTGATGTTAGACATATCCTCCTCTGCCATGTCACCGGCTCCTTTCGGCCATTCAGGTGAGCTAAGGCACGTGGCATCCCAGAAAGCATCCCGTACCAAGTCCGGATGATCATGGTGCATTTCATCAACGATCAAATAAGATACCTGTGAACGGAGGCAGTGGAATAGGTATATGGATAAGCGAGTAAGCGGATCAGTGAGAGTAAACAGGTGAGTGAGTGAGTGAGTGAGTGAGTGAGTGAGTGAGTGAGTGAGTGAGTGAGTGAGTGAGTGAGTGAGTGAGTGAGTGAGTGAGTGAGTGAGTGAGTGAGTGAGTGAGTGAGTGAGTGAGTGAGTGAGTGAGTGAGTGAGTGAGTGAGTGAGTGAGTGAGTGAGTGAGTGAGTGAGTGAGTGAGTGAGTGAGTGAGTGAGTGAGTGAGTGAGTGAGTGAGTGAGTGTGAAGTAAACTCGTTTTACGACGAAGAAAGTGAAACAATCCACATACACTCAAACGACTCACATTAAGATTTCTTTCGATCAGATATTCAATCTCAAAATCATCGACATCCTCCCCAAATGGGTTGATGAGAGATTCAGCAACCTGGAACGATGTGAATTATGAGAATGGAACAGAAAGAATGAGCTTACAGTAGTATGTGTAAAAAATGACCCCGGTTTTTCCGTCACAAATCACGATGGCGCAGTTAGCACTACGTATTCTCAAAGGATATGAGCTTTTGACCAACTACGAATCCGCCTCAGATCAATGGAACAATCCTGCTGTAAGCCCGTCTGACTAAGCGTAAGCTCAGCAAAGTGGCAACGGGGAACAGCGCGAATGTTCTGCTATCTATTCTATCACGTAATCGAATGGGTTGGGCTTTTTATGCCACAAGAATTATTTGAACGGTCCGTTATTTCATACAACCCTGACAGCTCGAGACGGCTCAGTGGTTAAGGCGCCAACTTACTGACCGGAAGGTCCGTGGTTCGAACCAAACCTCTGCATCTCGACTGCTGCTGTGCGGACTTGGGTAACCTGGCAGTATCTCGGCCCTCACGATTCCTTTGAGTGGCATCGCAGATAGACTCCGAATGGGTGGCACAGTTGGACCACCATCCCGTCAGCGATCATCAGCGGTCATTTTTTCACACAGAACCAGTAGGGTTAAATCAGCTCACTAGAGGGCAGAAGTAGCCTCTGCTTAGGCATGAACCCATGAGCGGTTTTAACCACTTCGTCATGCTTAACAACGGACCGATGTACTATTGGGTTTTGGGATTCGATAGCGGTCTTTTAGACACGTGCAACTGCATCAAGACCACGTAGTAATATGTCGTTTCCCTGTCCTCGTGAAAATGGCAAATCAGGTTAGACGCTCCAAGGCACGCTACGTACGTGTTAAAACGTCGACCGGTCAATGATACCTTGGCTTTACAACTATTGAATTGCGGCTTACTGCATGCTTGTGATGACCTACCTTCAAACGGTCAGCCCGCCGTGATGGTTTATGGAAATTTTCAGGAGATTGTGATTCCTCTTAGGGATTGGCACAACCTGACTGAGAGACCCCAGAAGGTTGGGTTGTAATTTCCCGGGATCCGGTGTTGCTCTTCGGAGGTGGGGATTCCCGTATCCACCAATTAACAGGTTATTAGTTGCGCAAGGATATAGTACACAAAGCAGTGACGAATGGATGATGGGTGGGACCTAGATAAGAGGTACTGTACAGCGTGGCAAGACTGCCAATGCTTAGCTTATGTATGGATTTGTTTTTACGTTTTACTTACTGGGATCTGGCTCGCGAGGTTTCCCTTAGTTTATATTCTACAGCTTCCTGTCTTCGGTTCCACTATGTCCTTACTGCATTCAGTTCATGATCATCACCGACATTACTCTTCAACAATAATGCTTCGCTGCAGTACAACCATGATTTATTTGAAAGCCTCATTGTGAAGAAAGGAATAAAGGTGGATGGGGAAAGGATTTGGCGCTAGTGTTTCAACATCATATGTGAAAAATTCATACTGGGACGAGATCGCCATCTCTTTGTACAGTGCTGGGATTTTGCTTGTGACAGCGAGCTCAAGCACCAGACATCAGACCAAACAGTGTCACTGCTCAAATCCCGCAGAAATATCACCTCCATTCGAGCATAACTTGACCCAACGAATTATCGGACGACGAGTAAAGAACAGCGTGCACCTAGTTCGTGAATATACCAACCTGATAACGCGATAAAAAGGCGATTGGAGTGCACGAGTTACTAAGCCTAAGAGATGCACACTCTCATGGCCGATGGAGTCTCAGTGGGGCAGGTCCCACACACACATTAAGCAACTAAACACATCACAACATTACCTAAATCCTGCCTATCGGACAATCTCTGCTACCATATGCAAACGATGCATAGTTGGTAGTGGTTTCCGTAAAACGGATGAATAGTTCAAGAGGTGGAGGCCGAGGTCACAAGTGAACATCGAAACGATTGAGTATCTTTAAAAGAAGTTCAGCTGGAGAACCCTTTCGGTGCCTGAATGCCATACCGCCAGAAGAAAGCATGAGGGATGGGATACTGCAAGGTCCCCTAGGGCAAAACAGGAGAAGCAGAGGTCGGGTTCGGGCAGTTGAATTCGCGCTCTAACCACAGGGCCACCTCGTCCCGGGTATCCCTACAGACACCAGCAAGTCCCGAAGCTATTAACGCTTGTTGCTTTTCTTCTATTTCTGTGTAATTCCCGGGTCGAAAACGCATACAAAAAGAAGAATTCGGTTCTCTTTTCCACCTAAACTCTCCCGACAACGCTGAAGTTGCATCATCAATCCAGTCAAACGAGGATGAATTACAACGCATTGCACTCCCTTCTTCAAAGTCACGACCGATTGCATGGTAAGGACACACGAGGTCACATCAGGGTAATCGTCCACGATTGAATAAGCGCAACGGAGTGTTGCAATGAGGAACAAATTAGATATTCCATATGCGAAAAGATAATCCGTGTGCGGGGGGGGGGGACATGTGACCTGACCAAATCGAAACACGATAGCCGGCTGAACGAATAATCATATTCCAAACACACAAACGCGCCATGTATGTACAATCAAAGTCGTGGCACGTTCACAAAAGCATCGCTTGGTGTGGTAGGTTAGAAAACGTGTGGGAAACTCACTTTTAGCCAGCCCATGTAGAAGAAGAACCGCAACAAACCGAAAATAGGCACGTAAATGTCCACCTCATAGCCCGGATATGCTTTGCTTGGGTCCAGATACTGCCAAGCCAGAAGGCAGGAGGTGAAATACGCGTAGACAACGATTGTGGCCGTCTGGAATGGTAAACAATTTTGATCGACAACACAATAATATATCCACCTAATGCATGTCCTTCTCAGGAGAAGAAAACTTGGCCAATCATCTCTCCTGAGAAGTAACCGATAAAAAACCGAATGTACGAAAAAGTCTTGCTGTGTTTGTTTGCATTCCGATGAGAAAGAAGCAGACCATTCTCCTCCCCGAGAGGACATGTTCGGAGGTGTTTCCATTTACGAGGATGCCACTCATCATAATCATCATCGACATCATGACATCAGTGTTCAACACCGATGCTTCACTGCCGTACAACCATGGTTTATTTGAAAGCCTTAATGTAAAGAAAAGAGTAAAGGTGGACGGGGGAGGGACTTAGTGCTAGCTTACCACAACCATTCCGAGATGCCTATACTTCCAGACACCCATTAAGGCGATCTGGATAGAAACTGACAAGAACGCCACTGACATCGGTTGGCAGCCATATCTTGTAGTGTCGCCACCAACCAGGCACAGTCAGGACCACGCGGTTCCCATCCTGGAAGGCGACGGATGGCATTAAGGAACCATATCAAAAGACTCGTGCGTTGGGCTAATAAGATATCGTTTGTGTCAGTGTTCTTCAACGGTTCTTACGAGTACGACATATGGGGGGAGATAGCCCGGTGGTTAGGGCGCGAATTTACTGACCGGAAGGTCCGTGGTTCGAACCCGGCCTCTGCATTTCGACTTCCCCTGGGCAATCTGGCAGTAGCCCAGCTCTCGGGTGGCGTTGCAGTTACATACCAAAGGGATGTTACAGCTGAACGATTTTTTGAATTGTTTTTACATAGAAGTTTCCATATTGCTGAAGCGGATGCTTCAGACGTCCATTATTCTTGCCCATACGTGATTTACACATATTGATTCAACAGGGTGAACCCGACCGTAACCCCAAGCATTTAAGTTAGATGTACTCGGATTTCCATCTAGTTTCACTTGGAAGAAGACTACCACACAGGAATCATCCACGAACCACAAACCTCCAGAAATGTTCACTTTTCACATGTTGCTTTATCCTATACTCCAGCCGTACTACCTCCCACCTGGAGGTTAACTATGAAAAAATTATAACAAAAGGGTGCTATTAGTATAAATAGGTGTACATATTAGTCAGTTTCAACAGCTTTTTCGTGCCTAGCTGCTATGTTTTTCGATTGAAGCACGAGGGCTGAGATACCACCCATTCACTTAAGCCTAGACGGGAGCGATCGCGATGCAGAGGATGGGTTCGACCTACGGACTTTCGTGCCGGTAAGTTCACGCTGAGTGGTCTGAGTGCTACACAACCAATTTACTGATTAAGTTGAATGCTCCCAAAAGATGAGCGGGTGGCTTGGTTAACCAGCTGTGATGACACAAGCTCTCTGAGCTGCCCAAAATAATTGAACACCACACCAATTGGACGGATATGTCGCAAGTTGGCTTTGTACCAAAAAAACTTGAACCCTGATTAATCAGAATATCGGTCAACCAGAACCGAGCTTGGTGATTCTCACTCCACCACGAAGATTTTAGCCTGATCTCGTGGAAAATTCTGTGAGCAATCCATAAATACAGCTGTAGAAATCTTTTTTTAAAATTCGTTTTGGAAGAAGGTGTATGAACGATTCTCTATTACCGTGGATGACGGGTCACGGGCATTCGCATATCCCCAAACAGGTGAGCGTACATCTGGAACAAGTCAACCGAAAGCCTTCAAACTTTGATCTTAACCGTTTTATGCTGAGTACAGGTTGAAAATTTCTGACTACTGAAAACTTGGTGATGTTTCCTTGTTGTGCCTCCATTATCGTGCGCTTAACTCCAGATGAAGTCCAGTTATCATCAGTAAACGCGGACTTGCTTATCGGGCCTGAGTACCTGCTCCCACATGCTGTCAATTAGATGAGGCTACTAGCCTTACTCATTGTGTTGCGCAAAACTGTGAACTGGGTTGCTCGTATACGCTCATCTCATCGAATTCGGGTGATAATCCCGTGTGCAGGATTGATAACACCATATGCGGTTTGTACGGAGAGCCGTGTCGATGTCAGACGACAGACAAAAAAGGGCAGTTCCAGAGCCGTCGGTACGCAAAAACTACGGTCTATCACTGCCAGATTAGATGAGGACAGGTTGAAACAGTTGAAATACCCAAATGAGTGCCGAGGGTGGATTAACGGCCCGAACCACTCGAATTTCGTACCCAAGAGTCAACTAACAAGACACATATGGTATCCGTCATGAAATTTCCCTTCTGTAACCACCACATGCTTAGCAAACCTGTATCTTAGTAGCGAACACAACGTAGGTAAGACGGTCGTCGCATCCCCTCGAGAAGGATAACTTCCCGGGAGAAACCATTCCTTCTAGTTGATGCCTTGCGGTGGCCTCTTCAGAAGAAAGTAACCGTAAAAGCACAGTTTCCTTACTCTTAAGATACATCGAAATTGCCGCAGGGAATCGGGACACCATTTCGTATAAGCCAGTAAGAAACACGGCGAGGTAGGAACTTTTCGCCGCGTGAGTAAGTAGAGCCTGTTTTCCAAGTGTAACTTTGGGTACCAAGGCATTTTTGGAGACACTTTCTTCACACCCGGTTCGATTAATCTGAACAGCGCACATCAAGCGAAGAAAGCATTTGATTCAACCTTTGCATAATGGGACTCGAATTACGATCACATTGAGTACGACGCGATTGCGCCATCACAACTCCGATAGCGCAAAGCTGGACGGGCCTCAATTATCACATTTGAGCAGAGAAACGTATCCACGTTTGGCTAGCCTGGCGCCCGACACAGCACCACTAACCGTCTTTGTTGCATCGATCGATTGACCAAAAAAATGAAGAAAAACTAGTGAAATCGTTTCCAACAAGAAAAAGCACGTTCCGAAACAACGCAACACAATTCAACACCAAGCGAAGCGTAAGTTTTGTAGTCTCTAATTCCAAGCAAGATACGGTTTCATATCATCAGCATCAGCAACGACAGCACGACATCCGTGCACAACACCGATAGTTCACTGTCGTATAACCATTATTTATTTGAAAGCCTTATTGCGAAGAAGAAAGCAAAGGTGAGGAAGGGACTTGGTGCTAGTTTACTACAATCACTTCGAGGTGTCTGTAACTCAAGACGCTCATTCAGGTAATCTGGATAGAAACTGACAACAGGAACGCCACTGGCATCGGTTGGCAGCCATATCTTGCAGCGTCTTCAACCAGGCGCAGTGGAGATCACGCAACCCCCATCCTGGAAGTCGAGTAGCACGGACAGCACCTAAATGTTTCGTAATCTTCTTCATACTCCTCTGACGGGTAAAGGGTTGGTCACCTCTCTGTGCCCGCCAATCTGAGTTGGGCATGGAAAACAGCACTCTCTTCGGCAAACGATGTCGAGGCATACGCAACCCATGCCCCACCCAAGCTTCTGGTCAATCTGAGTTGGGCATGGAAAACAGCACTCTCTTCGGCAAACGATGTCGAGGCATACGCAACCCATGCCCCACCCAACGCAGCTTCTGGTGCTTTAATCAAAGTATTGATTGCACAACCGAAAACTCGCTTTATAATTGCCTCGTTACGGATTCATCGACACCAGCCCACAAGAGCTATGGTTCTGAGACAACGACTGTCGAAAACCTGAAGAAGTCTTAGTTCCGCTGCTCGAACAGGCAAGGTCTTACAGCCATACAACAAAAAAGCCCGAACACACATCCCTTGAGATTCAGGGACATACCACTTTGACGCCATAGGTGTCTCAAATTAGCAAAAGCGACCCGGGTCCTGAAGATTAGTGCAATTACCTCATCTGTCACACTTCCAGTGCCTCTCCCTGGGTCGTAAGTGTCGTGTTCACGAAAATGATTTTACACTATATGGGTATAAACTGCATGCCAGAGGACGAGATGGCTTGGGTCAGTTCATCCAAAACCACTTCTACATTATCCTTATCTTCGAAGATGAGAACGATGTCATCTGTATATTCCAGATCGACAAGGTGTTCCTCACAGGCTATTTGAACACCAGGGTTTTGGAGACCTTCCAGCGTTCGTTTCACTCCCTCATCGTTCACGAAGTTAAATAGGAATGGAGAGAGTGGGTATCCCTGACGGATATCTCTTTGTGTACGGAAGCTTTTGGAGAGCTCTTCGTATACTCTTACACGTCCGGAAGTCCGAGAATACAAAGAACGTATTATGCCCACAAACTTACGGAGCATTCCTTGGTGGGCAAGCGTGTCAAGAAGAACAGACTGTCAACCTTGGAAATCAGAGAATACTAGAATTGTGGATCGCTTATATGTATGGTGTTGTTCTACCACCTGACGAAGTGTGAACATTTGGTCAACGCGACCTCTACCAAGCCGGAATCCCGCTTGCTGCTCTCGAGTCAGTGTTTCACGAGTCACTAAAAGGCGACGAAGCATCAACGTTATGATCGGAGTCAAGCTGACCCCCCTGTGGTTACCACACTCAATACCAGCCCATTTTTGAAAATGGACACTATCACCCACGCTGGGACAGATTCCTCTTCCCAAATGCAAACAAACAGATCAGATAAGAGCTGACTGAGGACTTTACCCCCATCTTTGAACAATACGGGCGGGAGGTCATCCGCGCCAGAAGCTCAGGAGAGTTGAGAGAACATATGTAGTCGTAAAACCCCGAGGCCGTAGGCGGTTCCACGTTCACCGTTCCACGTCACCTGTGAGCTCTAGATGGGTGCCAGCTGGTGGCCATGACAATTATTGTTCAAAGTATTCGGCCCACCTATCTTCTTAAATCACGATGGTCACTCCTTTCCGGTCCTCGATGGTTTCGCTCACATGTGGTTCTCGAGGACCGATCGCGCAGATCAACTGAAATAATCTTCGGGCATTAATGACGTTCTGGGCCTCTTTCATTTCCTTGGCTTTCTGTGTCCACCACACTTCACGATCGACAAACCATAGATCACCAGGGTTTGTCATACGTGAAGTTCGGATCGATCAGCAAGTCAGGTGTGGTTATGTGTCTTGACTGTGGATTAAAATCAAATATGGAGCTGAACAAGCGGGACAAAGTCGAATGGTCGAACATTGTTCGCACAATCGATATAGCACCAAGAATTTTCAATGAGATGGCCTGGGTTTTATCCAGCACAGAAAGACGGTAGATACTTCCTTATTGTTAACGGAAATCACGTAAAACGGATAAAAAGACGCTGTCCACAAAAAGTGGGCTTGGATGCATCTGAGGTACATGAGAGGTGGTTGCCACAACACAATTTTATTGATCATACATCACAAGCATAGGACTTAATAAAACGGGACCTGAGGTGCCCGTTTGGGTTATCCAAACGAAAGTTCAAGACAGTATTCAGTGGGCTATTCGGATACAGACTATAGTATTAATTATACGTGTAAATTCACTGTCGACTTCAGATTTACAACCTTCGGATGAGGTTACTGTGGAAGCGGTGAGAAGCCCTTACGGTTTTTTACACTTGCATTCTATCCGCCCGAAAGGGAACACGCGATGGGTCAAAGTAGAGTTCGCAAAAATACCTCCTTGCTCAGAAACATAAGCGCAGTTGATAGGCTATCTCCTGGTCGAGTACAAAGGATGCGAGTGTTTGAACGTCACCGTCACTCCATGAGACCGAATCACGTGATGTAAGTTGTGTGGTTGAAGGAGGCTATCATCACATCTTAAGTGTGAGTCATTCACAGTGATGATCAGTCACTCGTGGCCCAAAAGGCGTAGCACTAGGCTACTAACTATAAGGCCCCTCAGAGAAACAGGCTGTACTGAAGAAAAGCCCTCGGCTTCCCCGTACAGAGTTGCTTCATTTTCAGGATAAAATAGAGCTTCAAAATCTCAGCACAATCTACAGCCTGTGAATCGAAGTTAATCAGTGTAGCACTGGCAACTCCCTGATAGCTTCTCTATGAATGCAAAATGCCAATTTCAAGTAGGCAGGTACGAAAACACAGCGAACACCTCTCTGTCATGAATATGTATATATATATATATATATATATATATATACAGTAATTCGATGAATAGTAGAGCTCACCTGCGTATAAACCAAAGGTGGATTGATCCAATCATACCCAAAAATGGTTCCCAGTCTACCACGGAAAGAGGTGATTTCTTCCGACAAAATTTCAACAGCGCGGTCCATTCGAATATGGCCTTCACGACGTGCCTTTGTGATGATATCCATCGCCCAAACCAGAGGAACGAAGTACAGAGTGTATTCTTTCGGAGGGGTTGCCATATAAACGTCCAACTCATCTTGCGTCATTAGACCTAAAACAGGGGTCAGATTGAAAAAAGGAGTGCAAACAACCTAGGGAGATTATCATCCGCACACTACATCAGGAGGTTTCTACGCAAACACCATACACACATAGTAGAAAGAACGCGCGCTATTGTATGGGCCCACCGTACAATCCTTACCAACTGTCATCTGAAGCTGTACAGATTGGTGATGGTTGATACATTCGTAATGTTCAGCAGTTATCAACCCAGGAGATATCATCAGTAGGCGGTTGGGTCGGCCAGTGGGTGCAGCTTTGACCCAGCTGTTGATATCTAGTTCCCATTACACCCAACGCACGAGGACGGTAGGAAAAAGCATCTCATTGATTGGTGGACAAATTCATGAGCTGCCAACCGTGATAACAAACAACACTTCAAAAAGCTGTATTCGGGATCCCGGAAGTTATGCTGCTCTACCGGAATTTTTACCAATACGACTAATCTACCGAATGAAACAGACAAAAAACGTTTTTCATCCACACTACCATCGGGGGAGAACACTGGCGATTCACTGCCGCACAACCATGCCAATTCGCCTGGATGAAAGGAAGACACAGAGCTAGCCTATCACACACATCCGAGGCGCCTACAGTTTCAAACACACAGCCAAAGAGTCTGCATAGAAACCGAAAGCATAAATCTCACTGACATCCGTTGGCCGCCACACACTTCACCATTTCCAGCCATGCACAAAGAGGGCCACATCGGTCCCATCCTGAAACACAAACATCTGCAGCATCAAGACTCTTCCTGACACCCCTTCCGCTACACTGCATGATGCACGGAAAACAAAACGACTCTTGGTAGACGATAGCTAGGCGTGCATAGCACATGACAGCCATCTAGGGTTGCGATGCTGGTCAATTCATTGAGTGGAGCACCCTCCGCACGCACTTCCTCATCACCACAACGCGAGTTCGTTCATTCCAGCCATAGTTCACGGATATCAGTGGCTGAAGAATTGAGAATGTTTCACGCCCTTTACTCGAAGTGGTCGGGTATCGCAGCCGTACAATGCCGCCTGTACCATAGTCTGATATGCGCGTCCTTTAAGACAAAGTGATATAGCCTTTTGATCGCCCAAGTGGCGCGAATCAAAAAACGCCCTCAAGATCGATTGGTCGACTTCTTCTGTCACACTGCCGCCAGAGCTAATGCAACTTCCGAGATACGTAACGGGGGCGAGATAGCCCAAGTGGTTAGAGCGTGAGTTCACTGGCCGAAAGGTCCGTGGTTCGAACCCGACCTCTGCCTCTCGACTTCCCCTGTCTAGGCTTGGGCAACCTGGCCGTATCCCAGCCCTCGTGCAACTTTCGGGCGGCATGGCAGCTAGGCACCGAAAGGGTGCTACAGCTGAACGAACGGAAACACCGGTTCTCGTCTGACCACCGAAGTTAAGCAACGTTGGACACAGCGACCGGCTGGGAATACAGGGTGTTGCGGCCGTTCCTTCTTCTGGGGACTTACTGGTTAGAGAGCGAATTTACTGAACGGAAGGTCCGTGGTTTAAAACCGATCTCTGCATCTCGACTTCCTTTGTCTAGGCTTGGGCGATCTGGCACTGTCCTAGCCCTCGTGTTTCCTTCTGGAGGTACGGCAGCTGGGCACCGGGAAAGTGTTACAGCTGAACCATTATTAATTTTATCTTAACTTCCAGTATCACTTATTGAACACATGGAGGCATGTTCAAAGACGGCACATCCCGAAGCGTGACCCTGCACTTAGTGTAAGCGAAGCACATCCCGAAGGACTGAACGATCTGGGTCAGCTCTCTCTGTCTTCAAAAATGAGAACAATATCGTCTGTATATTCCGGGTCGGGAGGTTCTCCTTCGGATAGCCATTAACAACAGGGTTTGGGAGACCCTCCAAATTCACCTCACCACACAATTAATGACGAAAGTAAACAAAGATCGAAAACTTCCACTATCTTTGTTTTCACCTAGTTTTGTTTAATTTCCAAAGACACTGATTTCAAAACTAAAAGTCGAACTGTCACTTGCTAGGAACACGATTTTGGTCCGAGAAGAATGCTTTCTGCTCACATCGTTTGTATACGCAAACTTATGGCAACTGATATAGCAACTGATATATAGCATTTTCCACATAGTGAGGAGACATTTGGCATCTCACTGGATTCACATGAAGGTTGGGGTAATGTCCCGAGGTCCCCAGTCATGGAGCCGACGATGGCCGGTGAAAAAGAATTTGTAATGGCCTTCGCGGCCAACGCTCCCGGTGACTGTGTGAAAAGAGTTTTCCGAGGATGTCAGTCGACAGGCAACGATCAACTCCTCGAAGGGTTCTTTTCGCACAGCCACAGGAAGTGGGAAACGAGCCAGGGGAGGTCAAGTGATGGCTTGGCAGTGGAGCATGAAAGCAATTACCATCAAACTCAGCTGCGCTGGTGATTGCCATCTCGCTGGACGGGGGCCCCGAGACGGGACACATCGATGGTTAGAGACATTGTCAGGCGTGGCTCAGTCGTGCCCTCATTGGCGCTCGCGCATCCAAGCGATTGCCTTCAATGCATAGCTCCCCTGCCAATCTCCCCAATTAAAAGTCCATTTCAGTTCCCACCTACAATGCTACCCATTTCCGAAATGATCGGTGAACGAAACTGTGACAGCTATAACCACTGTACGACAAGTATGTAGTCGTTACAGCTGATGATGATCGACAGGCATACGGAGTACGTGATCAAGTCAGCGTAGCCAACAGAATGTGATCAGTCTGTCCGTCGTGGACGGGTTGTCTCCTCCGGAAACCAATCGGCGTATTTCAACATTACTGGCAAGGTGTTTCCACCAAACTCGGGTAATGCTCCAAAGACACTGATGGTCAAACAACGAAACATCCTCAGTTCATAGCGATCAGGCTTCTGACCCACATAACAATATGGAGCGCATCGAAACACTGTACGCAGGAGGCCCGATAGATAGGCTGATGTCACGTCTGCGCCACTGGTGATGCGGCTCTAGCGCTCTCCACCCGAATGGAAATGCCATTTGATAGAGTGATTCGAGTGAAGGAAAATTAGTAACTGCCGGATATGGACTACGTTTCAGTTAAAGATGCAATATGGGGTTCTAAATTGACAATTTCTCCGAAAAACAGTC